AAATAAAAGTGATATTGTGATACAAGTTTTTGGGAGTTTTAGGGTCGAGGTAAGTTCTTTTTATTATTAAGGAAATTTCTGATACTTTTTAGGTAGTTTTGGTAAAAAATGTGTTTTTTTTTAAATTGATTTGGAAATCTGTTCATTGGAAACTTTAACAGAACAAATCGGTTAATGATATTTTGTATTTTCATTAAATGAATGACTTAAATGCTAGAAATAATGTCTTATCCAACAAAGATGTCATTCGCAAACTAATACTATTATAAAATATAATAATAATGTGAATGTTATTTCTTAATCTTTATTTATATAATATATATTGCTGATTATTCGAGACGTTCGATTTTACCTCTGTTGATGTATGCTATTTTTTACGATAAAAATAAAGTAAATATCGCACTTTCTAACTTCACAAAAAGACATTTATGTTTTTGCCAGAAAATTCGATTTGCGATTGCTATTATTATACTAATTTCAGTCGTTTGACCCCAAAATTCAAAAAAATGTAAATTAGTATACGTATGTATGTATATGAGAAAAAATTTGACCTCTCGTCGAAGTTTTTTCAAAAAAGGCTGCACAGATTTCAAAAATTTAAATTCATTCGATAAAACTCATCAAGGACTGATTAGAATTCATTAGCTATTCGCTACAATCAGCCAAGCCGTTTTTTATAATTAGCAAGTGTGAAATTGTTCGTCCTCGTTTTTGCCGAAAATCTTGAATCAATTTTTAGAATTACAAAAAAGCTTTGAACGATATCCGTTCGGTGAAAGCGGTGAAGATATGTTGTATTGTTTCTTCTCAAATAATTTCTGAAATGAGTTTTGACGATTTTCACAAAACTTCGCACATTGATGGAATTCATTGCCTAAGCAAACACCTTAAATTATTTGAGGCCTACGACTAATGGTTAAATTGCAGCTTGAATTAATGGACTTTTAGATCATACGTTCGTTTAATAATACCCAAAATTTAAACTAATTGTCAACAATATCTAGCATGTTTGGCAAATTTGTACAATATTGAAGAATTTATAATGATTTCTAACATTATAATGTTAACGAATCACTTAAATATTGATTTCTTTTAAAATGTCACTTAAATCTAGATTAGACTTTTAGTTCAGTTGTTATATAAATACAGTTTTTTCGATTATTTTCGTCAATTGGTTAGCTTTTCATTGCGTCACTAGTCAATAATAGAAGACAAATTCTCCGCAATTAAAAATAAAAAAATAGGTAAGGGTAGAAGTAACAAGGTTTTATAATGATAAATATGGAAATCAATGGTAGAAATAAAGAATGTTATCCTCAGTATTGATACCATGATTTAATGAAAATGTTGATAATTACTTTTAATATTTTATTATCATTATCTAATACAAGTAAAATTGTGAAGTTTTAGATAATATATTTAGATTTAGTTCATCTACTATTAAAATTATAATGTAATCCTAGAATAATAATCTTTTTTTTCATTTCGGATTACTTCGAGGGTTGCAATCGTGGACACGGTCACGTGCCAATTTTTTCAACAAAAGCTAATTTTTAAAATTATTAACATTTTAATGTTTTTTTACTTTTTCTGTACTTTTGTAACGTTGATAAATGATTTATAAAAAAATAATAGTAAAAATATATTGGCTTTTGATTGATTGATTTGATAATTTAATAACCTAAAATTCATTCCTCTACACCAGATTACCCTTTTAACTAAGGGTCGAGTTAACACTTGTAAAAAATATGTAAAAACATTGTTTATGTTTTTTTTTATAACTATAGTAATTTATTATGGTCTGTATACAATAATTACATACGACGCAATGCTTGAAAATAATTTCAGAGAGACCGGAAATATTTTTAACTGCTGTTTTTATATTATACTAATAATGTTACGAAAATATATCAAGGTGTAACGTTAATGAAATTGAACATGAAATACGTGTAAAGCCCAAATTTCCGGTAACGTACTCAACCTTCCGGAATATATTCTTGGCGATGTCATGGGACTTCCGATCTTCCGATTCCAATTTATTTAATTTCCTTCGTTAGTTTTGTATTAAGATGATTAGATAGTGTATCAATGTAAACAAACTTAGATCCACAGACGAAATCAGTTAGAAATATCAAAAAATTTGCTCCTAATTTTGGGTTTAAATTTATTTATTTTTTCAGTATCTTTATGAAGCCATCATATTCGCATAAGTACCATTTTTATTATTCATAATATATAAAATACTTATATTTCTATGTGCTGTCTTACGTAGATTTTCCTAAGTTATTTAAAAATTCCAATACTATTTAGCAAAGTTTTACACAAATTAACCATGACATAAGTAAAGAAATTGAAAACTGAATATTCATAGATTAAATAAAGTTTTCTAAAATGGAATCGATATTTTCACAAGCTCTAAATTTATTCTTCGAATTAGATAATTGTTCTAGGAATTCACCGTGTCAAACTAAGGTTATGTACAACAATAGGGCTAAACCAAATTTAATACATAACAGAATCTATTGATCACATTACATTATAAAAACTAGATACAAGTACCACATTGCTTTAAGAAAAGTTCTAAGTAAACATCCCGTGTGTGTAAATGAGTGAATAATCGTCTTAATCAATAAGAATTGAAAATTTAGCAACTTTTCAAATCGTTATGATAGAATTTTGCGAAGTTTAATTAAAATAGCTAGGGAACAATTGTTCAAACAATGAAATTCACTATGAAAACTCCTGGTCGATCTTTACCAAAAAGTTTTCAAAAGATTTTGAATGGTCAAAATCTGTTCAAAATTTTTGGAACAGGCGTGGATAAATAACTTTGTACTTCTCTGCTCACACACATTCATACATATACATTCTTTTCTCAATTTTTGTATTAAGCGATTCAGAATAACTTTAAAAGTAAGGAAATCATAAAATCATCAAGTCGAATTTTCATGGAGTAGAGAGTATCAAATAAATTAGTAAATTGATTATATTATATATTCTTGAGAAATAAATTAACTTTCATTGCCGAATTCTTCAGATATATAGGCAGAGTAAAATACAGCTAAAGGATGATAAAATAGTTTGGAACCCATAATTTACAATTTTTAGATACAGTTCCCCGGGAACTATATCTAAAAACTATATTTAAAAAAAGTAGAAATATGTGAAACAAGTTTTTTTCCACCTAAATAATGATTCATGCCAGATATAACAGTGAAGATAAGTTCAAATATTAGCTTAGAAAATCAATAAATTTAAGATAATATCGAATAAAACATTCCTTTATTACGTATAAAAATTGTTACGATGGCTAATAAAATTCACTGAGAAATACTGATAAACTACACACTACATTCAATTAAAACTAATAAACAAGTTTGTATTAAATAGTTAAAACTAATGTCTTTGTGTTTTTTAAAAATATTAAGGACTATATCACTTTGCAAATTTTCTTTGTACGCTTTCTCTTTTAATACTGATTATAGCAGTGGCGGATTAAGCTTTCTGCCGCCCTAGGCCCTATCCGTTCAGGCGCCCTTTTTAGTAGACAAAATTTTACTTTTTTAATTGAACAATTCATTTTAAATTATTTAGATATAATTTTTAACTTTTATAGTAATTTTATATAGTAATGTCGGAGTTACGGAGCAAAGAGAGTGCAGAAAATAGAAATCGAGTTTTTGAGAGAACGGAGCATCCAATTTGAATGATCTAAAAAACATTCAATTTGTAATGATGGGGAGAGGTGGTAATTAACTTTTGGCAAAGGCAGGTCCAGCCGTTTCGGGGATACCCTGCTAAATGTGCAAAAATGGCAGTTTTTGAGAGATCTAAGCGTCCGATTTGAATGATAATGAATAAAAAATAAGTAATTTTGAAAAAAAAAAATTGTTTCAAATTTTTTTTTTCAAACATTTTTTTTTGTGTATATCGAAAATAATTCAAATGTTAAGTAAGTTTTAAATCTCACATATACTAAAGAATTATTAGATGCTTTTAAAAAGAATAATAGTTATTGATTTTGAATTAGAGATTGAAAAAATACTATATACATACTACAATGCGAAGAGATAAAATATATTTTATCAAAAACTATATAACTCTTCGCATTGTAGTATTTATAGTATTTTTTCAACTAATTCAAAATTAATAATTATTGACAATATTCTTTCTGAAAGTATCTAATAATTCTTTATGAAGTTCTGAAAAAAAAAATATAAAAATAACATTAACCACATATTAAAAAGCAGAGATTATTTTGCAAAAATTTTATTTTAAGATATTTCGATATTAGTTAATTATCAGTGACGCGCACACATATATTGACACATTTATGTTTATTAATTAACATATTTAAATATTTTAATTTTGATACTTATATGTACTTAATTAGGATGCAACTCTTTTCCTCACCACCCATGGGGTAAAGTTGCCAGGCGCGTTTTTTTTAATGTGGTGTCGCCACAGAAATAGATACTTCTATTCATATTTACGTTTCTAACATTTCAGATGGAAATGGATATAGTGTAAATACTACTAAGTATCGATTTGTGCAGCCCTAATCCACTTAAACTAACTTACAAACTAATTATACCTAACTGACCCGAATATATCGCGAAAAGAATAATCCCCGCGAAATGACCTAATGTACCCAAAAATTTCGGTTTTTGTAAATGAAAGAACCTCTCGTGGTAAAGAAAAAAATCAATATAAAATCTGTATTTTAGTATTTTAGCGATGATTGTAAATTTATAAAAAAAGAGCATTTACATGATGTACCCCCCAGATCCACCATGTAAACACTTGGAAAAAAACTTCATAGGTTCCCAGCCTATGAAGTTTATGGTTAAATGATTTTGCGATTAGCAATTATTAATTAATTAATGTAAAAAAAGCGCGAAAAATGTAAGAAAGGTTCTTTCATGACGCCACCCTTTTGAGCTCTGAATAAAAGTACGCGAACAACCCCAAAAAAGGTACGACCGAAGATTTTAATGTCAAAACGCCCCCTAACCTGATATTAAATAAATACTACTATAATAATACAAGTCTTATCTCACAGTTAATTTACCTTTCGATTATGTCATATCATCCAATTCAGTTGTAGGCGGTAGTTCAGGTAGTAGTGGTGCTAGTTGGTTTTGAGTTGATATTTTCTGCCAAATCTCGTGCAAGACCTAAAAAGAGGTAAACAAGAATTTCATTACATTTATTCGTATGGGTTGCAGAAGTAATTGTTGGTACCCACTTGTACATATCCTTTAATTCGGTAGTGGTCTCTTGGTGGTTCGTGTATATCTTGGTAAAACATATAGACATACAATACAATGTCTTCTTTGAAAGACATCTGAAATGAAAAAAAAAACACAAATGCCCCTAAAAATAGGGACAAACAAATAAACGGGGCCCCGGTTATATTAATAAAAGAATATATGGTCATAACTAATAATAAGATCAAATTAACAATAATAGGATAAAAACCTTTAAATATGCATATCCTCCTAGCAGTTATTTGGAAGTCCTTGTGCTTTGTGGTGCGAAAAGCAATCAATTCTGTAACCCTAAAATAAAAAGAAAAAAGATTTATACATAAAAAGCAGTATGCCAATAATTTTAGTATCTAGGTACATCAATTAGTCTGACCAATTTTCTCTTATGGGTTGTGGAAGTAGTTCTTGGTACTCACTTGGTAAGCAATTTTCTTGGGAAGATATCTGAAATAAGAAAAAAAAACACAAATGCCCCTAATAGGGACAAACTTACAAACGGGGCCCCGGTTATATTAATGAAAGAATATATGGTTATAACTAAGGTCTAATTAACAATAATACGATAAAAACCTCTACATATGCATATCCTCCCTCCTGGCAGTTATTTGGAAGTCCTGATGCTTTGTGGTGCGAAAAGAAATTAATTCTGTAACCCTGAAATAAAAAAAAAAAGATTTATACATATTACTTAGCAGTATGCCAATATTTTTTATGTCTTGATACATCAATTAGTCTGACCAATTTCTCCTATGGGTTGTGGAAGTAGTTCTTGGTACTCACTTGGTAAGCAATTTTCTTGGAAAGACATCTGAAATGAGATAAAAAAAACACAAGTGCCCCTAGAAATAGGGGCAAACATACAAACGGGGCCCCGGTAACAAAAATAAAAATATTATATACTTATATCTAACCAAGGTCTAATTACTTAATATTAACTTATGAATACGAGAAAACCTGTAGGTATTCATATTGAGGTGAACTGAAAGGGTTAAGGGTACTCTTGTTAGAGTGTAAAGATTGCTATTTGGTATGTTTAGCATCTCACTCTCCAATATGAAGGGTTTACCTTAGCGCCCTAATTCGACTCAACAAAATCTGCAGTTACCAGTGGAGATTTTAACTAACTACACAATTAAAACAGAATCTGCTTACCAACTTATCGATTGTTACCGAGTTATGTTTACAGATCCGAGAGCTTGACCGCACTTATGTATAGTGATGCATTAAGCCTAAATTCGAATGCACTAACAATGAGGTAATGATAAAGCTAGAAATGATTAAAAATGTATAGAACGGCGTAATTACGCAGGGGAAAGCTTAAAATCGGAAAACTTGATCGGATTTTTCTAGATCGTGTTCTTTTTCCCTGGCACAACATCACAACCATCACTAATGCACTAACTTGTGTCCTCCGTATTGGATTGACCATCTGAGAGGACTGATACTAAAAAACGATTGCAACTCCGGACCTCATACGACAGGAGCCTTATAGGCAGGTGGGGATTTAGTTTAGAAACAACTTTGAAATGATGTATGTAGTCTTTATCGCGACTCTGGACCACATACGACAGGAACCATATAGGCGGGCGGCGGATGTAGTTTGCACTAAAGGTTGTGCAACCCTTTGGAAACATTGCATGCTGTCGTTACAAAGACGCAATCACTTTTTAAGTATCAGTCCTCTAAGGTAGTCAATCGAGTCGGAAGTACACAAGCCCTCAAGGCAGTTAGTGTATAGTGGTGCGTGTGTTGTTCCATGGGCGAAGAACACACAATCCAGAAAAAGTGAGGGTTCTCCGATTGTATGCGATCTCCTTTGTCATCACGCCGTATCATACACATCTATAATTTCAAGCTTTTTGATCAACCAAAACAATAGTATATCAGAATTTAGACTTAAGACATGACTACAAAAATACAGTCATATCTTGGCACCTACGACGAACACAACTAGGTAACATTAAATAAATTAATAAGTATAGATTCTGTTTCATTCGTGTAGTTAGTTACGCACTCTATAGATAATTACCGGTTTTTATTAAAAGTCAGATTGGGGCGCCAAGGTAAACCCTGTATATTGGTAAATGCAATGCTAAGATGTACCAAGTAGCAGTCATTGCACCCCAAAAAGGGTACCTTCAACCTTTTTAATCCACCACAATCTCCTAGCAGTCCTGGTGCTTGCCGTCGCGGTGAGAAATTAATTCTGCAATCCTGAAATAAAAAGTGACTTGAAAGAAACGAAATAGACAATGATTTATAAATACTATGTGGTAGCCTGCTCGTATTTACCTGCTGCCAGTGCTCTGGTACATCTTATCGGTGCACATGTTCTCCTCTTCATTATAGTACTCAACCCCCTGGTATCTTTAGTTGAGGCCCATTTACACTAAAATAAATGTCAATTTTGTTATTTTTTTACAAAAATAGGGTTTTGTATCATCTTACCTTTTTTTTAACTTCAAACATTAAGTCTTCAACATTTCTCCGTTTAGGAGACTTATTGTGCAATCACAATAAATTTAAATGATTTAATTAGAGCATATTCATTGCATTGCAGCAGAAAAATCAGTAAAAATAAAAACAAGTAATTTATTTAACAAAGTTTTTAGATTTTAGACGAGTTATTTACATCCATGCTACTAATAAAATAATTCCAAAAAATTAAACATTGCACAAATAATACTAATTATAAATTAAAGTGTATGGGGTTGCGTTGCTTCTGGGAAAAACATCGCAAGGACCCATACACCAAATGAAAAAAATAATTTATTAACGAAACACGAATTACTAGAACCTGCCGTGGGGGGTAGGCGACAGGAACACATTTAAACGCGGAAATCGTTTCAAACGATATTAAAATTACGAACATGTCCTCGCACGAACAAAAAAAAAATTAAAATGTGGACGCAAATAACTCAAAATTATAATTTAACAAAATTATAAACAATTTAACAAAATTATAAAAAATAAAAATTGTCAATGTGATTGAATAAAAAAAAATTCATGCACAATAAATCCCTAAAGCAATCCGCCACTGCGCAAAACACTGTATGAAATCTGAAATAAAACAAATGTAGTCAATCGTAAATATTTGAAACATAAAATTTATATTAAAATTTAATATTATATTTAAATTTAATAATCTAAAGATTGCATTAAATTTTTTATGTTAAGTCAAAGGCTAAAATTAAATATTTTCACAACAATAAACACTACGGCGACACTTCAGCACAAATATATTGGATTAGAAAATGCAACGCAAATCGTTCAATATTAAAGAGACGAATTTTTACTTCAATTTATTTACATTCTTATAATTATAATTCAGCAGAAAATCAAGTCAAATCGAATCAACCAAAACACACGTTCTTGAAACTGAATGCACGAAATGATTACATAATACATAAATATTTTTTGAAAGACTTACCACTGACTGCAGTGTCTGCCGAGAGGTCCAAATACAGAATGATTTTAGTTGTTATTGCGAACGTCTTTTATTGGGGTCAGAAAGGGACAAAACTATGAATTGTTACCAGATGATACTAAACTTCAAAAATTGTTATCTAATTGAATAGTTTCGGGTTCGGAACCATAGAGGGTGCAATACGAAAAGTTTATTGTACCTCACAATCAGTCATAATTCAACCTTCGTGGCGAGATGGTCGAAATTATTACTGCTAATATTTGCATCTAGTTCTGTTTCATTCATGTATTTGATTTGATTGTGAAGTATTATTTGTATTAAATACATTTTTATTTGTATTTGCGTCTTATTAATTATTGGTGCGCTTTTATATATAATTATCTGTTTTAATAAGAATTATATCTTGATGTACGTTATATAGTTATTAACAATAATCTTCAAATATGCGATTAAAGATCAAATAAAAATATGTCACCCAATAAGTAAAATAAATTATGCTTGATAGAATCATATTTTGATAGAATCTTATCGTCGTCTCAATAAAAATCATCACAGAAGCTAAATTATTCCGAAGCTAAATAAACCTTAACCACTTTTATAGTCCAGCCACTAACCACTTTTATAGTCCTTACATTAAACAAATGCATGCACTTTTGTCAGGAGATCAGTACAAAGATAAATATATTTTATAAATTTTCATAATAATTTTTATGATAATTTTCATATATTATATAAAATTGTGCCCAAAGCTCAAATTTCAAATTTTGAGCTTTGGACTAGTGTTCATTAGTCAATGAATTTCTGGGAAAATTCTACGAAACGAATTTATAGAATATGAATATTATATACATTCTATAAATTTGTTTTATATAAAATTATTTTTATATAAAATATGCTAAAATATATCGAAATTGTTATTATTAAAAAAACTATCTTCCTAAAAGAACAGTAATGTTGGAAACAGTTAAATCCGCCACAAGTAGATGCCGGTAAATCAATGGAGTTAGCATGAGTGTTACTAAATTCGCGGAAAAACTTGTCCGCATCCTATTGGTCAAAATCTTTCCGACATCTCTTGCTCCGAATTCTACCCTCTCGGTTTCCCCGAAAAGCAGTTTCCACCGGCCAACTGCCCCCCGGCGTTTGAACGCCAAGGGTAGAAAATCACGCCTATTCCCACCAGTTATCGAGCGGCCTGGCCGGGGTTCCGTGCGCCATTGGTCAGCTCGTCGAACGTTATAACACGACTCTACATCCCCCTTGGGGAAAAATTCATTATATTCCCACTCTTGTACGATTTAGATTTTCATCGCGCCACTTGCCGCGCTCGAGTTAGATAGTAAAATCCCTTGGCATTTGGTCGATATTTGCTAGTTGGAGAGGTTTATGGTAATTTTTTATCGTTTTACAGATATAATTGGATTTGATTTGAGTTAATAAAAGAAGCTTGATGATGTTTTAATTAAGATTAGAAATGATTAGTTGGTTCGCGTTGGAATATTATATATAAGATATTTAAATCTATTTAAAAAATCAGGCAAATTTTCAAAAAACAATATGTTGAATATTGTTTTTTTTTTGAACATATTTCATTTTAAATTATTAACGATTATTTCGAAGCAAAACAAAATTATTTTGAATTATGATATTTGCAGCATTTGCGAAATGTACAGCAATATATATATATATATTGTAATAGTATATGAGTGAATTATATTTTTGAATTAAATAAAAATATTTTTTTATCGTTTTACAGATATAATTGGATTTGATTTGGGTTAATAAAAGAAATTAGACGATGTTTTAATTAAGATGAGAAATGATTAGTTGGTTCGCGTTGGAATATTATATATAAGATATTTGAATCTATCTAAAAACTAAGGCAAATTTCCAAAAAAACAATATGTTGAATATTGTTTTTTTTTAACATATTTCATTTTAAATTATTAACGATTATTTCGAAGCAAAACAAAATTATTTTGAATTATGATATTTGCAGTATTTGTGAAATGTACAGCAATGATAGTATATGAGTAAATTATATTTTTTAATTAAATAAAAATATTTTTTTTATCGTTTTACAGATATAATTGGATTTGATTTGGGTTAATAAAAGAAACTAGATGATGTTTTAATTAAGATGAGAAATGATTAATTGGTTTGCATTGAAATATGATTTATAAGATATTTAAATCTATCTAAAAACTAAGGCATATTTTCTAAAAAACAATATGATTAATATTGTTTTTTTGAATATATTTTATTTTAAATTATTAACGATTATTTCATAGCAAAAGAAAATTATTTTGAATTGTGATATTCGCAGCATTTGCAAAATGTACAGCAGTGATAGTATATCAATGAATTTTTATTTTTGAATAAAATAAATGTACCGAAAACCTTAGTACATATATTACATTATAATAAAAAAAAGTGTACATTGAAACAAAGTTGAAATCATAGTTTTTAAGTAATTACTTAAAAACTATGACTTTAACTTTGTTAATCTCGTTATGCAAAAACTTATTTATTGATGAAATTTGGTTTAATTTTTAGCTTTTGGTTTAATATTCGTTAGTATAGTATATACTAGAAACTTACTTATGAAAAAAAGGATCAACTATTCTTAACTTATAGTAAGAGAATTCTAGTGACTAATTTCTAGTGACCGTTATCAATTTGCTTGACTTTTTTTTTATTCAAATGATTTTATAAACTGGAATTAAATTATGTATAAATATAAAAAAAATATTACGTATTATTCAATTTTATCTTATCTCTTCGATGTACTGACTAAAGAATTTGGCACACATAACTCTGCATCAAAATTACTACAAAAACTTCAATATGTATAAAAAAAGTAACATATTTAATGCATTTTCTCATTTTTTTGGAAAACAATGGTATATATATATATATATATATATATATATATATTCACATATGTTTTCAAGAAAAGAAAAAATGCAATAAATATTTGATTTTGCGCCCAATCATTTTTAAATTATTGACATAAAATGACAATTTTCTGACCATTTTCTTAAATCAACATTTAATTCTATGTAATTTCAGAAGGCGGTGCAATGATGTTGCTCCAAAGACGAGAAACATCATTCGATGCAACCCAGCAAATGCCAATGTTTTTCATTACTATGGAAGACGATAACTGTCCTCCTCCTATGAGCCATGAAGTTACCATCAGCACCCAAATTGAATTTGAAGACGAGGATATTCAAAGATCTTCTGAGTCAACCGTTAGTATAAAATTAATGGAAATGCTGTTCCAATTAATTGATTAAATGACTGAATGATTTTCAACTCTCTTACAGAAGGCCAATCAGTATCACGAAGAAGATTCCAAAGATTCATCTTCTACTTCAATGACTACCGATAAGAACAAAAGTGGTAACAGCAGTACCGGCAACGACTCCAATAATAATGAAGATTATGAAGAAGAATCGGATGATGATCACTGCGATCTAACTTGTTTAAGTTGGCTGCAAAATATCACAAATATTATGGCAGTCCCTGCTTTACCTACTCCACCAGATTCACCAAATCATCAAAATATTTCTCCTCGAAATGGACCAGAACGTACCACAAGGTAATAATTTTGAATCAGTTCCATGTATTTATTTCCATTCTTAGCGATACGATTGTGACGATAGAAGTTTGAAATGTTAACATGGGTGATTATTCCAAACTTTTTTGAGTTTTTATAATTAAACTACTACTACTTGTAAACCTATAATATTTCATAATATTCGCTAATTCAAATATTGGACCAATAGCATAAAATGCATAATATTTATTTCAATTTGTAAAAAAATCATAAAATTATAAAACCATAAATATGATGGATTTTATATTGTTGGTATAATATTTGAATCACACATAATAAGCCATTTTTAAAAGAATTTCTTTGAATTCTAAATAAATAAATATGGATTTCATGTTTTTGACCCTGTAGTGGACATTTTATTAAATATATTTCAGAAATATTGACCATATAGTGTATATTATATAGTGAACTTACTTGAACATTTTATGAATTGTTTTGAAAATCTAAACCAATATTATCGATTTCATATTATTATTGACCTATACTGGGCTTACTTGAAAAACTTTTTATGAAATATTTTAGAAATCTAAATTAATATAACACATTTCATGTTGCTGGACTTACACGAAAGATACTTTGAGAATTTTTCCCGAAATTTAAACAAATACTATCGAATTCAAGTTGCGGACCGATGGTAAACTTACTCGAAAGACTTTTTAAGAATTTATTAAGGTTGAAAAAAAATGAAATAAATAAATAACGTTTTTATTCTGAAAAAGATCTATGAAACTGCATCAAAGCATAACTCGTTGTCATGAAGAATTCAAACGAAATCAAGAAATGTACTCCATCAGAACCTCGGTGAAACCCCCATTTTCATACGCGACTATGATTTGTATGGCGATGAGAGAAAATGGAAACAAAATGACGCTGAGCGAAATCTACGCGTGGATAAAGGAAAATTTCGCATACTACAGAATGGCTGATCCAAGCTGGCAGGTAATAATTGCAAGTTCGAATAAATTTTAATTGATTCCTTTATCAAAATCATTTCTCCGGTTAATAAGGTTGATGTATGGGTCTATACTATTGGTGTATAATACTATTGCATATAGTTTTTATTTTTTATAATTATATATATATATATATATATATATATATATATATAATCATCGTTAATAAGACATGTGTCCGCATTATATATGCTGCACTAATGATCAGCTGAATAATTTATGCCTTACCTACTGCGATATTTTTGCTTTCGTTATAAATTATTCAAATGTAGAACAAAAATAGTAAAAATGAAACAAAATTTAAATGCAACTATTAGACATTAATTGAATTTGAATTCAATTATATGTTAAAATTCAAATAATCCATCAAATTAAGGCTTAGTAAGAGATAAATTAATCATAAACTAGCGACGCCGTAGCTTCTACGCGTGTAAATAAATAATGAGCTTAAACATGGCCACTGCAAAATATTATTGATTAATTCTAGAAATAATGTTTTAGGAGCTCCAGCCCCAAATAGATGAGTTTTAATATCTTACAATCGTTCAAATTTTTCTATAATTGCTCATTCCAAAGTTTCTCACCTTACTTCAAATTTATTAACACCTAATAACCAGGTTTAAAAACATAAATTGTTTTTTGATTAACTATTTATCCTTGTGAATGAGTACTATGATATTTATTAAGGATATGTATGTGGCATTACAATAAAAATTAAAGTAACATCTATCATTTTTAATAGAACTCCATTCGCCATAACTTGTCATTGAACAAGGTGTTTGTAAAAGTAGCAAGGTCCAAAGATGAAAGAGGCAAAGGAGGATTTTGGAAAATGGATCCAGACAGGTAATAGAAAAAAGGGCATAAAATTATATTAAAATATATTTTATTTATTTGTATTACAAAACTATTATATAATCTCTTTTTAAAATCAGCATATAAGCATTATATGATTACATCTCTCTATATTCGCCTATACATAATGATGCATTTGTACCTCCAAAACCAAAAGCATTTTTCAAAGCTATTCTCTTATCACAACTCTTCCAATCACAAGATTTATTAGGCACATAATTCAAGTCCATATCTTCAGTTAGATTTTCTAAATTTATTGTTGGTGGTACAATACCAGTTTTGATTGCCATTACAGTAAATACTGTTTCTATATTGCCAGCAGCTCCTAGTAAATGCCCATGAGCTCCTTTAGTTGAAGATACCATTAGCTCAGGGGAATGATCACCAAATAGTGTTTTGATGGCTCTAGTTTCTATGGCATCACCAATTGGAGTAGACGTTGCATGAGCATTGACATAACTTATATCATTTGAATTAACATTTGCATCTTTTAAAGCTCTGGACATAGCTAATGTAGCTCCCATACCATCTTCCCTAGGTGATGTTAAATGAGATGCATCGCTGGATAATCCATATCCAAGGATCTCAGCATATATTTGTGCATTTCTACCCAAGGCATGTTCAAGCTCTTCCAAAACAAATATTGCAGAACCTTCACCCATGACAAAACCATTTCTATCCCTGTCAAAAGGCCGAGAAGCCTTCTCAGGATTGTCATTGGATGATGTGCAAAGTGCTCTTAACCTACAAAATGCAGCAATAGCTAAAGGGCTTATGCAAGCCTCAGCCCCCCCAGCTAACATTACTGTAGCATCGCCGTTACGAATGAATCTAAATGCGTCCCCTATGGAATGGGCTCCTGTTGCACAAGCAGTAGACACAGAATGATTTGGACCACGAAATCCAAATTTCATACTTATTTGACCAGCAGCCATATTAGGTAGAATTTTAGGGACAAAAAATGGACTTACTTTGTTGTATCCTTGCAGAAGAGATTCATTTGTCCTCAGTACTTCTTCTAAATCAACCATTCCAATACCGACAGCTACACCAGTTGAATTTAATGATTCTTCATCATTACATTCGTATTTTGAATCTTTCAAAGCCTCTTCAGCCGCAATCATTGCATATGTTATAGCCGGTGTCATTGTTCTTAATTCAGATTTCTTGAATCGACCCTCAACATTAAGTTCTTCACTAGATATAACACCAGCAATTTTGCATGGCAAATTATTATATCTTTCATCCAATTTACGAATTCCACAACCTCCTATTTCATATTATAATAATAATAATGATATTGAGCATAGGACTAAAAACATGTTTAACAAACCTGCAATTATCGTTTCCCAGGACTGTTTCACATTTAACCCTACAGGGCATACAGCCCCCATTCCAGTTACAACAACCCTTCGACATTTGCTGCTTAATTTTCTCCACTGACAATAACTTAAAGATATAGGTTTCTTTAATAACATCATATTTTCAATTTTTCATAACATTTTACATCTCACATGTCTTTCACATTGACTTGCACACGGCTGACAAACTAAATGTCAAAATAAAATCTTTGTTATGCTAAAGATGGCAGCACAGTAGCAAATTTCATAAGCCGTTACATTCAAATTAATTAATATGATTTAATAAATTATATATTTAACAACATTTATGAATTATTTAATTTCTTTCTTTTTATTATATTCAATTACTTCGTTTGCTTTATTACATTTAATATAGGCATATAATAAAAAAATAAACACGTTTATTTATGCATAAACGTAAAAAGGAAATAAATAATTAAATCAATATAATGCATAAATTATAGGCTACAAGAACGTAGACGATTTAAAAAGAGAGCAATTTCTGACAAAGAACGGGCAGAGTCTAATCGAAAACGATCAAAAATAATAGATCCTATCCCTACACTGTCTACTAATTCTCAATGCGAGGAAAATGCTGATATATTTCCAGATACTTCATATAAGGTAAAAAATCAAGTAGTTAGTTGTAACACTAACAATTACATTGATGATAAATAATATATTCTCCTAATTCGTCAGGTAATTTCAATGCCTATGCTATCCCAATTGACGCCTATTGAGGCTGCAGAAATGGACGTGGACGATCCACTCCCATTGTTGCCATTAGATTCCCTGTTAGCCTGCACTTCTGATACACATCCTGGTCCGGCCGTAGAAGTGCAAGATGCTCATCAGGGTATGCAGGGATTAGGAATGGCAGAAGATGAATTAGCTGGATTATTACTATCAAGTGGATGGGATGAATCACAACTAGAATTACTAGATTCATTACTGGATTCACTTTAAAGAGGAATTAGAAATTACTCATAACTAAAAGGTAAAGCAATAGTTCTGGCTGGTAAAGCCTACAAGAAAAAGGACTTTTATTTTGTTTAATTTTTTATCTTAGAGATGAACGAGCCACAAAAATTTTTGGTCATTTTTTTATGTGCTACTTAATATTGAATAAATACATAAAAATATATAAAAAATGCTCACATTTATAGATTTTAGAAAATAAATATATTATAAGATAATAATTAAATTTAAAAATAAAAATATATGATATCTGAAACAGAATCAATTAATAAAAATAACATCGATAAATGATATTAATTATTAATTATACTATTTTTTGTAATTAGTATTGTAAATTAATTTATGGTTAATATTAAATTGATTGTTTTTTTTTGTGGAAGACTTGTGTCCGAAATATATGTAAAATCTCTTTTATGAATATGTTATGCATTTCTGTCTCTATTACTGGAAAAGCCTCTTGAACATTTCAAATAAGAACAAAAAAATATTTCTTTATGAAGTTTTGTTTATATTCACTTAAAAAACACTAATGTAATTTACATAAAATACCTTAAATATCTTCCCTGGTAGAAACTAAGAAAAGAACTTACGAACTAAAAGCTAAGTCAATATTTGTGAATTAAATCTAGTCATGTAGGTACTATTATATTATCACATTGGTTTTTAATAACAATGAAATAATAATCATCTAAATTAATAAATGATCGTTTCTTTGCAATTTATAATAGTATTAATCATTAAGTTACTAAATATGTAGAAATTAATTAAATATTAAAATAAATAAATGATGCTTATATAAAATTACTGTAATGATGTGCAATTTTAACAATGTAGAAGTGGAGTGAATAAGAATATTTATTAAAATATATTATTTAATATAAAATAATTTTATGCTTATTATTTGTATTTACAAATATTATATATCACAGTTATTCAATATAAATCAATAGAAATTAACAAAATAATAAACTTTTAACAGCACATTTAAAATCATCAATAAAGACATTTTTATATGAAAGTTTCATAGGTATTATAGAATTCTTTTGTTTCTAAAAGATAATTAACAACTTTTTCAGCAATTAAATTACTGCTGCATTTATATTACCACTTGGTAGGTCTGGAAATACTGAAGCATCAGCCACTAACAAATTGTTTAAATGTTTTACTTTGAATGTATTCCAATCAACAACCGTATCATTATTTTCAATTGGACCCAATTTGCAAGTTCCCGCTGGATGAAAGCTACTCAGTGTCACATGTCTCACATAACATTCCAATATTCATCAGTATCAAATACAATATTCTCACAACCAGGGAAATGTTTATGTACTATTTTGGCATTCAATTTTCTCATGCTTGGTGTGGTCTAATAACTGTTGTATTATTCGAATACCTTTTATTAAAATTGCTATATCATCTTTTTCCGACAGATATTTTGGATCAATTAAAGGTTTATCATTATAATCATTGGAAGCTAATTCAACAGTACCTCTGCTTTTGGGGTGTAAAACAACTGGTAAAATAGTTATCATGTTGTTATAACTGAGATCATTATAGTAATCATGCCAAATTTTTGGTAATATTCCAAATAATTTGTGAAGATGAGCGCCAGCATCTTTAGTAACACCTAATGGTAATGCCATTAATTGCAAATCAGGTGGATTATCATGTTCCTTTTTATCAAAAATTGTATTTATAAAAGCAACTGCTTCACAGCCAGGAGTAGTCCAGGACCACCGTTACCCATACCATAATCATAGACAGTTTTTGGTGATGCAATATCTAACACTTAAGTTTAAACTATCATTAATCATGATCAAATCTATACCGGTAGTAACATGATCTTGCAAATTCTTGCCTACTGGTAAATCATGAACACAGATATGTCAAGATTTTGTAATGTTCTTTAGGGCCTATCCACTTAGCATTAATATTTTTGGAGTTCCAATTACCAGCAGATAGAATAACTGCTTTACGACACCGCTTGACATAGTTTTTATTATTTCTAATAAATTTTACTCCATAAACATGATTTCTTCTTATCAATAACTTTATAACTACACTATTTGTAAGAATTGTCAAATTAGGTTTATCAATTGATTTTTTCAGGTGTAAATGGCTGGTTGTAACTCTTGCACCCTTCAATTGATTCACTTTTACTCGATGAAAACCTATAAAAAAACTAAATTAAAATCTAAAAATCAAACAAAACTTACATGTTAGCTACAATTTAATTTGATCATTATTTATCAGTAAACTACCTAAATTAGCGTCACTAAAAGTTATCCAGCTTCCAGTCCTGATTTTATGAATAAATCGCCCAACTTTGAAGAATATAGCACATCAGATATGGGTAAATAAGATTCTATTTTTCTAAAAAAAAAATAGTAAGCGCTATTATAATAATTATTAAGATATGAGATAAATTAAATATTTAACTTGAAAATCTTCAATATTTCTCTACTGTAGTCTAGTGTAGAGAGGTGGAAACCAATGTTTATAGTCATCATCATGCCCTTTAACATATAACATGTTGTTTATACCGTGATGTACCTCCAACTATTTTACCGCTGGGCCATTTGGAAGCCTAAAATATATTTTGTAAACCATATATTCTTGACCGCTTTTTCAACTTTGAATCATATTCCACATAATTGGCGGCCAACACCATTGTTTAATAAATTATCTTATATAATTGATATAATTCTACAATATTCTAACATATTAATCAATTTATAAAATGAAAACCGTGATTATAAAGAAGCAAGACACGGCATTATTTTGTGTGTACGGTCTCATATTGCCAATCAAAGTCAGTTCCTTGAAATAGGTCCTATAAAAGGAATATCAAAGAAAGAATGTCCATAATTGCCTGCTTCTAATATTAAAATTTTGTAATTAGTATTTGCAGAAAGTAAGCCAGCAATAGCAGATCCTGCCGTCCAGCACCAACTAAAAGAAAGCAGAATACAAACAGCTTTTCTAAAACTCATATGCTTATTTCATCTACTTACCAATATATAATCATATTCTTCAACTTTTCATTAGCACACTTTTCACATTAAACTTTCGTTAACATGAACAAGTTGAAAATACAAATATATTAACTGCACTAACAGAAAGAATGCAAAGGTAAGTAAGTTTATGCAAAAGTAATACATATTGCAATATGAATAGAGAAACGTATTATTATTAAACTAGTAATTTAATTAAAGGTTTTTAACCTCAAAACTATAGTTTAGTATTTATAAATATACAATCAAGTTAACATGTTCTTATTTACATAAAAATCACTTTTGAGAATATTGTTTAAATGTAACCAAGTTTTATTTATATATGTATTGAGTCACATTTATTAGAAATAGAATAAGAAAAAAAAAGTGGCATTTAAATGAGGTTATACCGAAATTGGTATAATTTTAACAGACGTTAGAAAAAGTAAAGAAATATGGAGAACAATTACTAGTGTGCTTGGAAATAAGCAAACATACAAATTATGTTGAATCTCATAAAATCACAAATTACAGATCATAAATCAAAAGTAAAAAAGATAAAAGTGGCAAATAAGCATATACACACGTGTGCACTTAACATATTTGTATTTTAACAATCCATATACAGCTTTTCAACACTATTAAATAAATGGATAAAGAAATGTAAAAAAAA